AGCCGGGGCTGCAGGAGAGCCCGGGGCAGCCGGGCGCCCCACGGCGTGCTGGCGGGTGGGGTGACCGAGACAGAGGGGCAGAGTAGGACCTGCCGGCTGGCCAGCTGGCACACTCAAGCCCCAGGGAGCCAGGTCAAGGAGAACAGCTCCCCAGAGGACCGAGCTAACCCTCTACCTTGCTGCGACCCAGCACTTCTTGGCCTCAGCCAGTCAGTGCATATGCATTGGCCCGGGCGTGGGTGGGTGGGGTGGGGTGGGAGGACGGCCCACTTCACCCCCAAGCCTAGCCCTCAGCCCACCCCTCGTTTGCCACCTGAGCTAGTGGGCCTTTACCCAGCTTTGGTCCAGCTTCCCTCCTGGCCACCCGTGTACTCAACTGGGTGATTCTCCATCCACTGGGCCACCTGGCCCTCACACCTTTGGACTCTTGAGCAGAATGGTCTGGGTGGAGCCTTCTTGTCTCCTCCCTCATCCCTCCTGTTGGGAATGAGCCCCACTGCAGGGCTTCAAATTCCTAAGCTAGCTCCGGGCACAATTCCTGCCTGCCCACCACTGCTGCGGCTCTCCAGCCCACTTTCCAAGCAGTTATGTCATAGTGAAGGATTTCTCTCCTTATCCCAAGGTGCTGGCATGCTTTATGTGAAGCAAGAACTAAGAGATTTTGACTATAAATGCTCTTACCTAGGTCATTCCTCGGACAGCAGGAATCTGACAGGGATCTGCAGAGAAGTTCCTGGTCTAGTCACAAATGTCAGGATTTGAGTTAAAGCAGACACTTACAAACACAGGCAGCTACTGTTGAGGTAGACTGACCTTTGACCCTAAATGTGTTGGTGACATCACAAGGAAAAAAAAATAAAACCTCTCCACTTGTTACATAGATCAATATTTGGGTTTTTAAAGTCTTGTTGCCTGATTCCATTGTGTTGGCATTACTTTAATCTTAGGAATAGATGTCCCCACCCTTGATACCAACACTTGCTCCATTTATTTATTTATTTATTTATTTATTTATTTATTTATTTATTTATTTATTTATTTATTTTCGGAGCTGAGGACCGAACCCAGGGCCTTG